TGTGCTGGGAGCTTATATAAGGGAGAGTGGGAGGCTGAGAGCTATTTCAGGACCAGAAAAGACGCAAGTGTGCATGTGTGTGTGTGCATGGCTATAGTACCCATATGGATTTGTATTGGTGCAGCTGTGTGTGTGTGTGTGTGTGTAGGCCTGCTGTAAGAACTAGAAGGACTCTGATTCAATGGGTTTCATAACCAGTCAAGTTTGAGATGAAGTATGGCTCAGAGAGTCAGTCACACCCCGGAGCTGCACACACTTTTAAAAAAAGGCAGCGATCCCACAGAGCTGCGTAGCAACTGGAGAAATGCCGACATGTTTACTGGTTGTAGCACACCAGACGTGTCAAGTGCACCCGGATGTTGTGGCAGCAGCATCCTTCTGTTAATTGCAGTCTTGTCCTGAATGTTCTGATGTCTTTTGGAAACAGTTTAAGGGCTCCCTACTTTCTCCTGAAGCTACAGTCCTTATAAAACCTTAAAAAGACATGTTGCTGCTGAGCTCTTTGGTCCAGAGTGAAGTATCTCCTCAAACACTGGATGGGTTCTTATGAAATTTTCCTAAAACATTCATGATCCCCCACAGGACGGACTCTAAGGATTTTGATGATCCCCAATCTGTGTTGCTGTGTATCAACATAGGGCTGAAATAGACTGACTGCGCTCGGAAAGGTTTTCACATAAGAGTTCACATATGTGTCGGACCAAAAACCATTAGCCATTTCAAAGTTATGCTCTCTAATCAGGTAAGATGTTTTTGAGGAGAGTGTTGTAACAAAATAAAGCAACCAACAGTGTACAGAATGTTTTGGTTTCAGCAACAAGATAATGGGTTTCCGAATGTATAACAAGTGAATTGGAGAAACGTAGAGACAGCTTTTTGAGTTGTAAATGGAAATAAAGGTATAAATGCCGGCTTTGGCATTTCCATTTGAAATTCCCCTGAGACGCTGCTGAGCAGAGCCAAGCTTGCTTCAGCTCTGGAGGAGACGGGATTCTCTCACATGATGCACGATGGACTGCAGCAGTGAACGGTAGCCGGAGGGCCGTGCTGACAGGAGCGTACAGATCCAGAGTGTGTCCTTGTTAGTGTGATTCAGCCTGTCTGTGGGTTCTGGAGAGCCGGGCTGTGAAGTGTGAAGGCACATTTGGCTGCTCTCGCCTCCATCACTAAATCATCTGTATCACCGGGTTACTGTAAACTGGCCTCATGGTCTCAAAACGAGGACGGTGTCTGGAGGTCTAAATCTTTTTTTTTAAAGCACAATCAAGTTACACAATAACAGAGGACCAACGAAGAGTCAGCAACACAACACAAGACAAGCCATCGAAGCACGTTATAGACAGAAATGCACGATCATATGTCACGTTTTCTCTCTGCAGGCTCTTTGTGGCACGCTTGCCTGCAGCTTCTCTCACTAGATTGCAGTTTTGAAGCATTTCAGTAAGTCAATAAAACACGTTACGGGACATTCACTGACACCACAACCGTTTCTCTCAAACCGCCAGAAGCTGATAGTTTGCACACATAATCAATACCTTTAAATATGAACATTTTCATGACAAGCAAATAAATTGTATTGATGTCTTGGGGGGAAAAAAGTCTCTTGATGGCGTTTGGAACAACAACAAAAACCTCAATGAGAAAACTACGATTATTTTAAAGTTAGCTGCTCCTTTTTAACCACATACATTTGAGGTTCATGCAGTCACACTGGTTTAACAAAACACTGCAGCAGCAGAGACATTAATAACTACAGGAAGAATTATTTATTGTAAAGTAGTAGCTACTGTTTTATGAACAAACCACAGCTAAATAAACATATTTATTTAATCTGGTTTATATTTAATATATATATATCTATATACAGATATACCTGTATATATCTATATTATATATATTCATTTTATTTGCTTTATCCTAAATGGTCTGTTTTTTATTACTTCACTTATATATTTTAGAATTTACTGACATTTTATGCCTAGTTTTTTGTATATTTACCTTGTTTAAATGTGTTGCATTTGACTTTTATAACACACTTTGAGCTACATTTCTTGTATGGAAAGAACTTTATAAATAAAGTTATTGTTATTATTATGAAGCTGTGACCACAGAGAAACCTTAATACTGGTAATGTTTTATGAATCAATTCAACATAAACGGCAATGAGGTAATTGATATGAAACCATCTAAAGAGTTTCTATGTGGTTCTTCCATCTAGTGGTTGAGAAAGGCCTCATAGTGGCTTCCTGTTCTCAGCAGGGTCAAAGGGCACCAACGGGGAACAAGACTTAAATCACATTCAGCGCGAGTGAGTTTTGATAATTTAGCTAAATCAGAATAAAGTCCACTACAAATGTCTACATACATTTTAGTTGTATCTCCGTCCTCTGGTGTGTGGTCATATTATTAAGTATTTATTTATTTAATTGATACGTTAAAGTGGTTTTAATGAAACTCGGCAGGTTCGATTGCTATTTTACTGTACGTTAAATGCTGCATATGAGCAACACTGAAATGTAGTTTTGGTCTTCTGCTGACTCGTGACATAATGCCTCCAGCTGCAGCTATCACCGCTGTGGAGGCAAGATCATCTAAATCCCAGACACAGTTAAAATGGTTCAGGACATATGAACAGAACTATAAAAGTACTAATATTATGCAAATCTAAATGCCGTCGGCAATAAATGAAACAGAGCTGCAGCTGATGTTTATTTTCTTGTTAAAAATAATGAAAAACGGTCCTCAGTTTTTCAGACCCCACGGCGAGTTCTTCAAATGTCCCACCGACAGTCAAAACACAAAGATATGAGATATTTATAGTGATATCAATCACAAAAAAACATCGCACTGAAGGAGCCGGAACAAGTCGATTTTAAGCATTTATTGCAAGAAAAATGCTTCGTATGATTCTCAAAATGACATGCTGGTAAAATTGCTGAACATATTAATGGCATAATTGTTTCTGCTCTACCAAATAATAATAATAATAATGTGCAGCTTTAGCATAAGCGAGAGGACTCAGGACCCCCAAAATAGATCAGGTAACAAAACCCTTCCATTTTACATTCAATCTACTGAAATATGAGGAGAGAGTGAGAGTCATTTCCTGAGACGAGGGCAGTAGTTCTTCTTGAACATGACCGGAAAATAACATGTACATCAACAGAGCAGTGTTTGGCTGATGGACTCATGATTACAAGAGCTGATGTGATTTTAGAATATGAAGGAAGTTCTGAAGAACGACTCATGACTTTCAGAAGTGACCAAAACAAATATGAAGTCACGGATCAAATCTGCACGAATCTAAGCATGTTAAGTTCAACAATTTATTTTGACGAAAAAGTCTCTGCTAAAGCCATGAGACTGAATATTACCACATCTTGTGCTCTGGACTAAAGTTGATATGTTCCAGCTTCAATTCATGCATCAATCTTTTATACTCTAAATCACAAAAGGAATAAAAAGAGCAGTTGGATTTATTTTAAGCTCTCATCTCAGAAGCACCGCTAATTAAACCGCTTTCCCCAAACACTCCATGAGAAGCCTGTGGGGCATCATCCTGAGCTTCCAAATTACACACACTTCCAATCTGTGTTCTCAAAATATGGACTTAAGTAACCATCTCATGAAAGCTAATAAAAAGCACAAGAACTTCTCTATGCACTTATTTAATGAGCGTAGGTATCAATTTGTTCCCAGTGATGGATATCTCATTTTAGAACGAGACGTTTTAAATGATTCGTCGAGAAGATAATGAGCAGGCATCCCACACAAGGCCACGACATAACAACTCGCACACGCCTGGCAGTCATCGGCATGCGGTCAGCAATGAAACCGCAGAAAACAAAGTGGTGCAGGAAATAAGTGGGAGAGTTGAAAAAGGTCACGCAGCGACGGTTTCCCTCATCGCACTAGTTTTTCTTCTTGAGGGGGAAAAACAAGCGGCGGCGTCGGATACAATCAGCCACTGAACTCCAGGTGTAGCTTGTGCCTCTAAAATAACCTCGGGCTTATCGATCTCCAGACTGGAAGAACTTGAAAAGGAGCGTTGAGGCATTTGTGGTTCTTTTGTTTTATTGTAACAGTGAGCAGGGAAACAAGCAGAGGATTCAGGTACGAGAGCTGCACCTGAGTGAACGCAGCGGTGCTGGAACAAGGACAGAAAATGGACATACTTGTTTTAAGTCTTTTATTTAAAACTAATGTTAAAACATTTGTAGCTGGCTAGCTAGCTCAGGTGTGATGTATTATTTTAAATTGAATATCTTTAGAGGTTTGACTGTATAAACTGGAATTACCACCTCATGCTTGTATGCCGTTTACTTCCACGTCTGTCCAAAATGTCATCACTTCATCCTCTCACAGTGACCTTTAACCACCTCATCAGTTCATCCTTAAATCCAAATGGACATTTTTTTGCCATTGTTGAAGAAATTCCCTCCAGACCTGAGATATTGTGTTGACGAGATTTGGCAAAATGCATAAACGTAAAGACAACCTGAAAACACAACACCTCCGGCCTCAACCAGCACGGAGGCAACACAATCTAAATCCAAGAGTAATCAGAGTATTTCACCATTGAATAATCTGTTTGTTTAGTCTCATGTCTGAAAATAATGAAAAAACGATCTTCGGTTTCCCAATAATCCAAAACAAAGATTTTAGATATTTACAGTGATAAACACATAAAAGAAGCAAATTCTCACACTGAAGGAGTCAATTTTAGGATTTTTTCTGTGAGAAAAATACTTTCAATTATTTAAAATTGACACAAGGGTAAATCTTCTATTAATGTATTAATAGTATAATTGATTCCGCTCTACTAAATAAGGATAATTTGCTTTAGATCCGGACCAAGACGGTGTGCTGGTAGCGTGTCATCACATCTTTATTCCCATTTTTTAATCCTTTGGTCGCTGATCGGATGGACGGACCGTCAGATTTGTGTCTCGTGAGATTAAACATGCGTCTGCAGTCAAATGCACAAAAACACACAGAAGCAGATTTTCTGTTTTAATCAGAAATCATTGGTTTACAAAAATGACAATCATGTTGATGTTGCAACCTCTTGATTGAAAAACTAAGAAAAAATAGAAGCTTTTGCCGGATTACTTAACATGTATGTTTGAGAGTGTGTGTGTGTGTAAGGTCTATTTGTGATTGCAGTTTCTATCTGTGTGCAGGTGTCTCTAGTCCACAGCCGGTCCAGTGGCAGCGCTGCTGTAGTGTTGCAGTAGACCATCTGCGGCCATGGTTGGTTACCGTGTGTCATTGCCATGACTGTCACAACTACTTGGTTTCACAGCTCCTGGCCAATCGTCCGTCTGTCCGACTTTTGCCACGGCCGCTCAGTGTCTCTACCGGAACCGTTCGGTGCTTTTTGCAATGCTTTCTGGGTGTTTTCTCGTGCGCTTGCTATGGTGATCTGGTGTTTAGCACCTTGACAGTCTTGCGGCCGTAGTGCCAGTAGCTGTAGCCTGAGGCTGCTGTTGTCACCGCTGTTACATACCTGCAATATAATACAACACAAACTGTAATTCAGACACCTGGTCAGCTTATTGGTCAATTTAGTTTATTTTAAATGTCTACAGCATCATTTTCACCAAGTTTTTATTGTTTGAGTTTATAATGATAATATTTAGTTTCCTATTAACTTGTATGTAGAAGCTGACTGTAGTTTAAGTAGATGCTCACGCTACAAGTTGGTTTCAGAGGCTTTACGGTTTTGTCGTAAACCTCCCATGAAAAATAAAAAAATAAAATTCTGATGCCTCTTTTATTTCAACAATCTGCTGAATTTGTATAGAACTGTAGGTTACTGTGACACAATCAAATGTTTGTCCTGAGCCGGAGCTCCTCTCCACATCTCTCTGAGCTGGAGACAGAAATGAGTCAACGCTCTGAACCTGAACACTCTGCTGGAACAAACAGCGTTTATGTGCTTCACAGAGATTAAACATTGTTCTGTTCTAACCACGACACTTAAAAATAACGGACATTATAGATATTAAAGTCAACTGGATGAGACCTGCATATGTAATAATATATGATAGATGATATAATAGTATAGTAATACAGTATATTACTATATGTAAAACAGTGTAGTGTGTGTGGTTTACCATAAGCCCTGCAGCAGGACGCTGTCTGTATACTGGAAGACTGGAGCAGCCAGAGAGGATGCAACCAGAAGGAGCTGGATGGCCGTGTTCACCTAACAAGAACATACACAAAGTCAGATCATAATTATATACAAAACCCTTAACATACACAGACTACCTGCTTCTCTAACAAATCAAGTTTGGCTAATTATTTTTTGGGAAAACCTGTTGTGCATGTGACACGTCTCTTGGCTGGTTCCAAGAACAAAACAACACTTTTTGGCAGCTAAGAAGCTCTTGCCAGCCACCATTCTCTCCAGGTATCACAATAATTCATGCAGAATTCATGGTGGAGCCGTAAAGGAACATTTTGACAGAGAATTTGAATTGTGTTAGTTTTTGCATAACAGAGTTTAACAGGCCAAGTATTATGGACTCAAGGGGTGGGGGTGCTTCACCTTGCTGAAGAGTGTGGGCTTCAGCTGTGCTGTGGTGTAGCAGGGGTTAAAAAACTTGCTCAGGGTCACCTGGAGGAAAAAGAGACATTCATATTATTTCTCAGCTAGCGAACATTATAATCCAGAGTACATTACCCTTACTTCAGTCAAAGTGTGTTTAGAGTGAAATGTAAGGTGTCTCACCGGTGGAGGTACAGTTTTGTATCTGACCCAGAAGACCGCAGCTATCAAACCGATGTCTCTGGAAATCACTAGAGCGGTCAGCAGAGCTAAAACAGAAGAAACACGATAAACAATCACGTAATACACACTGCAAGTAAATGGAAAAACACTTCTATTCCATCATTTTCTTCCATACTGACATTAAGAATACAATACCTGGTATGAGTTCAGCATAGGTGAGACTGACATATAAAAAACTGATGAGAATCTTGTCAGCCAATGGGTCGAGAGCGCTGCCCAGCGCAGACTTTTGAGTCGGCCACGTTCTGGCAATGTAACCGTCCAACTGAGAGACACAGAACGAGATGGAGACATTTTAACAAACTAGTAAAACAACATCATTTTGGAGGCCGTTGTGTGTGTGTGTGTGTGTATCTGTATTACCACGTCGGTCGCTCCGGCCAGTGTGAACAGAGCCAGGCTGAGGTGAAAGTGCTGTTGGATGATCAGGTGACCCAAGAATGGAGCCAGCAGAATCCGACTCACACACAAGAAGTTGGGGATTGTCCACGGGTTCTCATACTGCAAAGAAAAACAACAACAGATGTGATGCTGTTAGTAGAGACATTTAGTAACATCAACACAGCAGGTAAATCAGACTAAACCTAAAGTTTGGTACAAAGAGAGTGCTTCTGTTCGTCCTCATCTTCAACTAAAATGAAGATCGATGAGTCAAAACGCAGAAAGATGAGAACAAAGAAAAAAGTTTTTGAGGCCAATATTGATATTTGTGTTACAAAAGTCTGATAATGACATATCAGCTAATTACTAAAACAACAAAACAAACACATTTATGATTTTCTTTTACAATTTACTAGCTAAAAATAACACTTCTTGTGTTCTTATACCTTTCACATTTCTGTAATGTAATTTCTCCTGACTTGCTATGTGCGAATATCAGCGGATTACTCAGCCCATCCTATCAGACTAGCTCTGTATACTGTACACCTTTGTACTGCTGAACTTGATCCATTTGTCCTTCTTTATGCTTCTCCTTAATCGCATTTCTAAATGTAATATTGTACTTGCTCTACTTCATCCATTTGACAGCTTCCTGTTACTTCTTGTATATATTTTACACACAAGTGCATTGTTATAAATCTGTCAAGCTGTGCCTCTACAAGCATGCATCAGTAACAATCCTATGATATACTTAAATATAGTTATATCATAATGGTAATACATTCTTCTGCACAATGAGCGCATGGAGTACATTTAGATACTTATATTTCTGAATACAGGCCGTACTTGTACATTTACTAGTAGTATTACATTGTTGTACTGCTAATGATCTGAAGATCTATATTACTGAACACACTTAAACACTTCACATGTTTACAGTTACTGTACTCACCAGCTCTTTGAACTTGAAGAGCCCTTCTCCCGGTATCGAATCCCCGGCTTCATTCCGCTCCTCCACCGGAGAGCTCTCCGGTGTCTCCTTGGTCTTACCGCTGCAAAGCCCACGGGCACTCGGGGACAGCAGCAGAGACCGGAAACGTGCCACCGACCTCTCGTGACCTCCCCGGGGCAGCAGCACGGTTCCTCGCGCGTGCCAAGGTGTCGCGTTGACCTGCTGGAGGAGGATCCCACTCCAGCACGCGACGCGGCCGTCCGTACCCTTGACTCTGCAGAGCCACGAGTCGCAAACCGGGGACTGTTTCATAGGTGTGTAGTCGGTGACAGGTGTGTATCTGTGCCGCCATGACGCACCGCGCGCAGACACCAGACAGCGAACATTAGCTGCGTTGCGGCACAACGGCCCGGAAATCTTCCCAAAACACATCATCATTATCTTCACGAGCCCTCCGTTAACGACCGTCTGGTCTCGTGCGGTCCGTTACCGTCTTCATGACGAAGTTTCAGCCTGTAACGGTCAAAGAGCCGACGGGATCATAGCTCGAGACAGCAGGCTGCCATGTTGCCGTAAAGTGACACCGCACAGGAAGTCGTAAACTCACCAAGACTCTTATTTTGAAAATAAATTATCTTTTAGTTCAGACAGATCAGTTTTTATACCAGCAAAAGAAAAGCACCATATAAGAATACTTTGATAAAATGACACCATAGTTATCAGTTCTTAGACTGATAATAAAAAAGTAAATATTTAATGTATTCTGGTATTTAAATTGAAAACTAGAAGCATTTGAATCACTGTCAATAATGTAAAAACAACAAAATGCTGAGATTAACAGGACAATAAAATAATTTATTAACCAAATGTTTAATATTTACTAATAAAGTGCACACCATACAAAAAGTAAACAGAAACTGGGGACAATAAAGAGCATTTGAGAAAGCTTAAAGACAAAAATGAGAAGCCAATAGTGCACACTTGCAGGTTTTTAGATCAACATACTATAGTGCGATCAATACTGGACTCTTGAGAACATTTTAAAATGTGGTAACAATATAATGACAGCTTAATACTGCATCAAAACAGATCTGCATAACAGGTAGGGAAGGTAATATGAACGCAGCATCAAAAGCTTAATCTCGGATAAGCTTCCTGCTTCAGGCATTGATGGTATAAAATGTTTAAATGGGCTACGATTTTGGATACTTGCTCTGTAATTGTTCTGTGTTTGAGAGACAATCCCAGTGGATGAATGCATCGAGCAGCGTGGTTCCACTTCTATTGCTGAGAGCAGCATAACACAGAAACAGCTCTACAAAGTGAGGACACACTGGAAGCAACTGTGCAAAGAACATCTACCTCTATCAGGCTACTAAACACAGAGAATGTATACTTATATAAACACGTCATTTTATGTACATTAAAACAATTACTCCTAAAATACAGTAATTTCAAACTGTAGTCAAAAAGTATTTCTAGAACAAAGTCACCTGTGTGGAAAACATAAATGTACTTTAATATTAGTCATCTATTTATCATTTATCTAATATAAATATATCTCGTCTTCTCTCAGACATTCAGCACATTGTCAAAGACTGACCTTACTTTGAAATATTAGAAAAACTAAATTCAGCTACAACTGTTTGAATCAGTAACCATGTACTGTGTAATACATGTACACTGAAAGCAAGGTGTACCTGACTGAGTACACTAGTTTAAAACCAGATAGTTTATATATCTTTACTAAGATACTAGTATCTTTGGCACTAGATTGGATTTGCTTGAAGTAGCTTGAGTAACGTTTGTAGTCCCACGTAACTGATGCATGTACAACCAAATCACAAGTAGGATAAATAACACCATGTTGAATTTGAAGCTTTTTGTGCGAGAATAGATGCAGACTAGTTCAGCAGAGATGTGCGAGTACTGGAGTCAGTTGATCTCAGTTCCTCTTTTGAGCAGGAAGTTTGTGTTCATTTAGGAAACATCCAGTAGAGAGATGCCGCCTATGAGGTTTGAGTCGATAGCTGATCCGTCCCGTCATTGTGAGTTGTTGTGGTCGTTAGTCTCCTCAAAAAGGTTACACAGTACTCGGCTGGTTGGTGGTTTGGTGACAGTGGTCTGGTTATGACTTCCCCCTTTTCTATAAAAAGAGACGCTGTTCATTCATCCTGAACACTGACCTTGTCAGCAGGAAGGAGCAGGTGTGTGGTGTGTTGTCAGCGATCAGACAGTCTGCAGCTGGTACAGCTTGGCTCCTTTCTTCAGGAGGAAACCTTGTTCATTCAGGGAACTCACAAGACCTTCAAAATCCATCACCTGGAAGGAGTCAACCAATGACTGAATAGATCATCCAGCATGCATACGATTACAAAACTAGCTAATTTCTCACAGATTGTATAGAAAAATGACATGGATGCGTTTGTGGCTCTCATGTTTGTAAATCACGTTAACTTGACCGTTTTTATCAAGTGAGTGAGCATTTCTGTGCATCTAAGAGCTTTCACCTTGATGTTCATTTTGTTGGCCACAGATCGAAGCGTCTGTAGGTCAAACTGCGTCTGATTGGTCCTCTGAGCGTGCAGGTGCAGTGCGTTGACCAGTCGCTTTGCAGCGCTCCGCTGACTCATGCCTGATCCGAGCTGAGAGCGCTCAAAGTCCAGATTGCCCAGACCATCTGAATATGTATCAGCCAGACTGAAAAACACACACACACACACACACACACACACACACACACACACACACACACACACACACACACACACACACACACAGGGAGAGAGAGAAATTTTCATTCCAAAACAGATAATTCAACAGCAGAATGTGATCTTGATTTTCTGTTCTGTTCACAGTTATCAGATCTGTAATGGTTTTGTAGGAGTATATTGCAGTGTGCTAGAATTAAGAAAACAGCTATTTATCATGCTGCAGGGAACATAATGGAACTTCACATATTTAGATACAACTGTTACCGCTGTAAATCCATGTTTCCTCTCCCTAAATCTCTTAAATTTACCATTTAAGTTAAGTGACACACACACACCAGAGCTGAAATATTTTGATAATTAATTAATCGTTTATCCCAAATAGTACCTGCTTCGAGCTTCTGGAACTACAGGACTTGCTGCGTGTTTGTCTTATGTGATAGTAAACTGAATATCTTTAAGTTTTGGATGGCTGTTCGGACAAAACAAGCTATTTGAAGAAGAGATGCAGCGATATCAATTATTCATGATTCAATGCAAAGTACTCGGGACAAAAACAACAATTTAGAAAAATGATACGCCCCTTAGTGTGTAAAAGGTCTTTAAAACGAAGACCAAATGATATTAGATTTGTTCTAAAAAGATAATGAGAGTATTAATCTACAATGTAAATGTGTTAGTTGCAAACAAAGACTCCTGTAGTGTCACCTGTGTTTCATGATCTCCACCACATCTTCAGCATCACTGTTGGTAGCCGTCTCTCTGAGCTCCAGTCTGGCTCTTGCCTGCACAAAAACCAACAAAGGTAGTACTGTGACAATAAAAGAGAAAATGGTTCCTTTTGTTCGACAAGCCTGAATCTAAGGCAGAAAAAGGGTTGTCGAGTGTCTTAATCCATGACATGTTGTTGGGTGAGCACATAAAGACACCTACCTCAGTCAGTCGGATTAAAGACTCCAGTTGTCGTGTGGTGATGGGTGTGGAATCAGCAGAGTGAGCCTGAGAACGCAGTGACAGGTAGAAGGTCTGAAGAGTCTTTGCTGCTTCGGGAGAGAGCGAGGGGTGGACGTACTGACGAGCGTAGCTGATATACTTCCTTAACAAAGACACCGGGATGGGGTCGACGGTTTCACCTGCCGGGACCTTGACACAGATACACGTACATTACATGAATGCTAATTATTCTTGACGGATATCACTGTACACTTTGAGTATGTCCCATTTGTTTTCACCTGCAGACGTTCAGACAGCGGCATGTCCGAGTGATCCAGCAGGATGGAGGTCTCTAATTCATTGTTGGCCCTGGTCACTACGGCACTGCTGGTTCTGCCTTTTCCTGCCCTGTTCGCCATGATGTACTCTGACAGGTGGCGGTCATGCGACTCATCTGGGATGTCCAGGAGGAGGAAGATGACATCGAATCGAGAGAGAAGCGCTGAGCCCATTCTAAAGTCAATAATGCACAACTGTAAATACGAGTAAACTATTGTATATTTACACAGATATATACGGTAAAATCCTCCAGCACTCAATTAACTTACTGGCCGTTGAGCTTACTTACTTCAGATTTTCAGAAACCGTCTTGCCTCTGTTGTAATGTCCTCCAATGGGGTTCGCAGCAGCTACGACGGACGTCCTGGCAGGCAGAGAGGACACGATTCCGGCCTTAGCCAGACTCACAGTCTGCTGCTCCATGGCTTCTAGCAGAGCCTGCTGTTGGTGGCCCAGCTTATCAAACTCATCAATGCAGCACAGGCCTAAAGAGAACAGACAGAGGAAGAGGACCAAAAGAGAATGAGGCCAAGAGAAGAAGACAATGAGATGGAGAGAGAGAGGAAAAAAAAAAAAACAGAAACAAGCTGGAGTGAGAGAAAGCATGGATCTCCAATTCTGGTGATTTCTCAGATTTCACTTCAAGGTTATTTTTAAGTTGGGCACAATATTTAGGGAGAGATGACTTCAAACAGGAGCCTGACCAATACTGGATTTCTGGGGCCAATTGTTATCGATTATTAAAATAGTAAATTGTGCGCCAGCAATTCTTCCACTCTCTTTCCTACCTTGGTCAGCCAGAACCAAGGCTCCGGCCTCGAGAGCAAAATCCCCGGTTCCTGACTCTCGGGATAAACTCACGGTTAGTCCTATAAAAGCAAACATTAAAAATGTAATTCCCAACTTGATTATGTTGCAACAGATCTGAAAAACTGTCCAGAGAGTAATCACCTCCTGCATAACTTTACAATAGCACTTTAAGATTATTTACCTGTGGTGCTTGTGCTGTTGCCACATACATAGATTCCTCTGGGAGCCACATTACACACTGCCTACACACAGGGCACAAAGAATATACATAAGTATTATGATTACATGTACCCACTGAAACGGGCATTACAACCTCACCTAAAGAGTAACAAAATAACATTGTTACCTCTATTTTTACTCATCTCTGCCAGGTATAACTGCTCCATTTAAAGTGTTTAGTGGGTTTTCTGTGTTACCTGCAACATCTGACTCTTCCCCAGTCCTGGGTCTCCCACCATCAGGATGTGAGGGTCTCCTCTGACTGGGACGCTGTTCTTGTCTGTGTGTTTCTGTCTGCCTCCAAACAACACCAAGGACAAAGCAGCTTTCACCAGCTTGGGACACACAAGAACACACGATGTTGGCCTGAACTCAACAAATATCCCTTTGTAACCTCTGATGAAAATGCTGTTGTGGTTCTTAATCTTGTTAGAAGTGCAGCGCACCGCACGTCTCACCTGGTGGCCGTAGATGACGGGACACAAAGACCTGAGAGACATAAAAGTACAAGTTGATATTTAAGATGAAGAATGGGAAACCAGTAAACATATTGTGGGTAATAAAGATCTTACTGTACTATAAGTCTCAGCAGGTCCGGCTGTGACTGGATCTCCTGGATGGCATACAGCTCCTTCAGACTGAACTCCTCCCCTCCAGAACGATCTTCAAGACACCCTCCTGACCCCTGACCTGACTTGGACCTGTGACCTTAAGAAGAAGAAATAACACCGTATTGCTCTGTTAAAAAAAAAAAAAAAAGAATTTAACATTTAACAACTCTGTCTAACTCAAGTGCTAACACGAAAGCGTCAGTACCTTTGGTGTTGCTGACTGAAGTGGCTTCAATGTAGAGGAGGAACATACACTGATCCTTGTTCCCCCGGGAAGTTCCTCCATACAGAAAATCAGAGTGTTATGTGAGAGGCTTGTTTGTAGCCACTGTGACAGGTTTATAGTTTATACTGTATATACAGAAATAGATTTTTACATTAAACTAACCACTACTAAAAGGCAAAAGCGTACTCCAAACTTAACCTCAAACTTAAGAACGTGTGTGTGTGTGTCAGTGTGTTTTGTACCATCGTTGGTCACTCTGACTATGCCGGTCACAGTGACTGCGTCTCCAGGGACGCAGCTGTCACAGAGGTCGGAGGTCAGGTGACACTCCACGGAGCGCGGGATTCGTCCAGTCTCCCTCTGCTCTCCGCCCATCAACTCCTGCACCCTGGAGGAGCACACAAAGGCAACGTAATGTAAAATGAAGTATGTAAATGGTGACTCAGGTTTGTTTTTTTTATATTAGAATGCGTTTCTCGCAATATTCTACGAAAAGATTTTGTGACACTGGTGATGACGTACGTTGTGTGAGTCAAACTTATATCTGATGTATTTCAACCAATGTCTGCCCTGCTTAATCTTTCTGATCTTAATTTTAATATAAAAGATTTAAATCTGTGAAGTCTTGCCACAGTTTTTCACTGCTGATCAGTTAAAGGCACATGATGTACTTACTTGATGATCTGGAAGTCTACAGTGCGAGTAAGAGGGGAGTTCCGGATCGGAGCGAAGGAACGACTGCGACAATCAGGCTGGAGGCACTTATTGAGAAAAGACACGTATGCACACATTAGAAGTACAAAATGAATGTAAGTAATGGTGTCAAAGACGGTTATGTGTGTATGCTATGGAAACCTGAGAGTAAAGAAGAGGTGTTGCAGGAAAAAGAGAGCTGAATGTGTGTGTGCTCATGCCTTTGTGGGTGTAGCGTATTTCCCCTGCTGCAGAGCCAGAGACTGCATGTGCGAGCTGCCCAGACACCTGAAGGCCATCCTGGTGCACATAGGTCTGATATTGCTCAGTCTGACCACCGTTCCCCTCACACACACCAGCCGCCCAAACACACTGGCTCGCAACGTCCGCAGCGCAGTCAGCGGTTCATAGTTATACAGCCTGTGGACGAGTTACA